TTCTGTCTTCCGAGATGCTATTTTTTATTGCCCTTTCTCCCTACTAAAGTCTACTCATTCTCTTTCGCGCCTAGTAACCCCTTGCGTCTTAGTGGCATTATCGCCTTCTTTTATTTTCCTTTCTCCTCAGGGAAGTCTTCTTATTCTCTTTCACTCCTAGTAGTACATTGCGCCTTAGTGGCATTATCGCCATCTTCTTTTATTTTATTTTCTCCTCAGTGAAGTCTTCTCATTCTCTTTCACTCCTAGTAACCCCTTGCGTCTTAGTGGCATTATCGCCATCTTCTTTTATTGTCCTTTCTCCTCAGTAAAGTCTTTTCATTCTCTTTCACTAAAGTCTTTTTATCATCTTCTTTTATTGTCTTTCTCCTCACTTCTCTTTCAGTAACCCCTTGCGTCTTAGTGGCATTATCGCCATCTTCTTTTATTGTCCTTTCTCCTCATTGAAGTCTTCTCATTGTCTTTCATTCCCAGTAACCTTTTGGGTCTAAGTGGCATTATCACCATCTTCTTTTATTGTCCTTTCTCCTCATTGAAGTCTTCTCATTCTCTTTCACTCCTAGTAACACTTTGCGTCTTAGTGGCATTATCACCTTGATTGGGGTGAAATGATTAAAAAATTGAATTCAGTGTTTAGCAGGTGTCCTCTGCTTTTGGCGTTATGTTATATTAAATTCATTTACTGAAAGTACGCACTCGGGTAACACACAGACAGACACGGGGTATTCTTTATAATGAGAGATAATGCGAACAGCAATTCAAATTACATTGCCTTTGTGTGTAGATAAGTAATTTGTGAATAATAATTTCAACGTACGAACCATCTATTTAGTTTAGACTTGTAACTATAACAAGATATACATACCTACAAGCCTATCCCCATTGATACTCTCACCTGAAAGTGTGTCGAATATGTTGAAATATCTTATTTTCTAGAGGCAAGCGTTTGGACGCCACTGGCTAATATGTAACATTATATACCTTAGAAAGTATCCATTGCTGACACATAATGGTAAATAACAAAACATTTTTTTAAATGTTGCTTTACATAGGATATTTATCACCATATACAGGCCATCCGTTTGTCGGTTAATCTGCTTGACTCAGTCTACAAGTCCATTTATTCGTTTGACATAGTTTAGAAACTAAAGTTGATATGGGGTTGCTACTAACCCCTATGGGCAAAATATATACTTTATTTTATAGTTGGATTTATAATTACAGTCATCCTTGGTTGCCCGTAGGGAACTTTTTTTTTTAATCATTTCACCCTAAGGAAGGCGATGAAGCCACTAACATGTAGGGGTTATTAGGAATGAAAGAGAATGAGAAAACCTTAGGAGAAAAAAAAAAACGGAAACCAAATCCTAAACAGGGAACAAGTGATAAGGAGTTTGAAACAAGGTGGTAGACGAATCTCCCGTGGAAGCCAACATTAACGCATGACTTATAAAAAAAAGTATTTTTTTAATAACCTATAAACATCCGCCTGTATTTCGATTGAACTCAACATTCCTTCTAATATTTACCACTAGGCTGCGTTAGGAGTAACTTGGCTCGACAACTCAAATTATTTCTCAGCCAAAATATGGACCTAAAAACTTAAATAACCCCGATAGATCGAGACTTTCACATGGATGTCAGGCATGAGCCAAAGTCGTCCAGAAATAACTAAACTGTCAGCTGTATACAATGTTCTCAGATTAATAATTAAAAATGACTTCCAGTGAATGAATCATGGAGGTCAGAGCGAGGATTACTCTTCTTCGAACCTACAGAATATGAACTGTACCAAATAACAGCAACCACTTTACTAGTTTCAACAAAAAACAACAACCAAAATGGACGGTACATGTAAATAGAAGACAACATAAGGACATAATCAGGGCGCTTATGTCCCACACTGTTTCAAACAAAAGGTTAGGAAGGAAATCCCCATTAATGTGGGAAAGAACGATAACAGTTACTGGACTTGAGAAACCTGTTTTCTTGAAAAATGATTTTAAGCGAAAAATTTTATACATTTCAAGTGAAACCAGCACTGGTCAATGAATGCCAAATGTTTCCTTATAAGGAAACGGCTTATATTATCATGAAATATTTTAATAGTTGTATTTATTTTTTTTGTTTTTTTAGTTATCATTTCACCCCAAGCAATGCAATAAAACTAATACGACACAAGGGTTTACAGTGAGAGAATATAAAAAACAAACACTAAGAAGACAAGAGAACAATAAAAAAAAACAAGAATTAAGAAGAGAGAAGATAAAGATTGACATTGTATTTATATTTGTGAAGATCAAATTTGACTGTAAAGCAAGAAATCGAGAGAGAGTTCCACAAGCAAGAAGTGCGATAGAAGAAACCGTTAGCATAGAACTTACGGTTCCATGTTGCCATTTCAACTATAAAATGATGAGTTATGTGCCATGCATGATACACGCTTATGCAATCATGTATCTTTCATGTATATCTTTCGACGCATGACTGACAAGGGAGATTTTTTTCCCTAAAGTAGGTTGCCATTTCTTTCTGCAGTTGCCATCCAAGGCTATAGAACCCAGTCTGTCCTGCTATTTACTCGTAGCTTGAAAGAGAAGAAGAGGATTCATGCCTTTCTCAAGGGAAATACCACGTATGTGAATGTAATGGATTCAACTGGAATTCGAACTCGGCTCTCCGATTCCTCAATCCAAGCCACTATCCATTACCCCGCCGTGCCTCCTCTTAATCTATCACTGCGCTTCATAGAGGAAAATTCATTAAAACATTTACCATGAGAGTATTTCTAGAAAAGGCACAGGGAAGCTACAATACAACGGTAGGAAAGTGTCTGAAGCCGAGATGCCAGGTTAGGACCAATAGTATTGCTGATTCTTCTTTGTATTATTTTTATTTTAGCAAGAATTTCTGAATATATAGCAGGAGCACCAGACCATATGTGGCAGTAATATTCAATGCAAGAACGACTGGCAGACTTATAAATATGTATGATAGATTATATGTCTAGCTCGACACATTGAACCAAATTTCCTAGCAGCTGACCTCCCAATTCATTCAATATAATCTTTTCACTTAATGTCAATGAAAAAAGTTTGTCCGAAAAGGCACAATAGGTCAGTCTCCTGGAGGTTAGCATCAGCTCTGCTATTATTATTTAACCATAAATGTACTATTGTGTTCCGCCATGTTTCGCCATCTTTGAGGCAACGTCATAATACCATTTTCCTTGTCTAAGTGTTATTAAAGGTTCCCAGATAATCGACTTTCTTCCCATTAAGAGAATTTTGAATGGATCGAAAGCAGTCGTAATTCAAAGTTGCAAGATCGGATTAATATGGCGTGTAACGAAAGACACCCGTGCCAAACTATACCAACATCTGTCGTGTTTGCAAACAGTCGTCGGGTTTGGTGATATCCTGATGGGTGAAGGCATCCTTCTGATTAAACTATTCTGGATACTTCTCATTGGTTACTTTCTTTAATCGGTCCAACTGGAACACCTACCATAATTGCCCTTGTATAATACGCATTTTTTCTAAAAAAAAAAAATAATAAGCAAAATTAAGGGTGCGTATTATGCACAGCTACAAAAAATCTTTTTAAAAAAATGCCGTTTCATAGATCGATTTCAGTTGCGAAATGACTACTCACCACAAACATACGACAATTTGACACAAACATACGACAATTTGACATTAACATTTCAACTTAATTTTTCCTGATTTAATATTTTTTTAATTTGAATTTTTTTTATTTTAATTTCTACCAAGTTCACTTTTAACGTAAAAACATTTAGAATTTACGATCCGCACTCAAATCGTATAGAAAAATAGCTCGAAATGTCAGCATTCAGATTATTGTGTATATGTTATAAATTCCCGTCACGTGTGAAATGAAATCATGTGTTCAAACAAGACCTACTGAAAACAGCAACGACTTTTTGTTATAGCATAATAGTTATACTGTGTGTATGTAAAAGATGGCTGAATAATTTCCCCTGAAAGAGAAACAATGTACAGGGTGAGGCAAAGGTCGTGAACCATAGTGATATTTTTTCTTGCCTTGACCCCTGTCCTTTTTGTCTTCCCTCAATACCTTCTAAACCTACACCTTTCTCTCACTTTCACTCTCCGTAACTCCCCCCTCCGTCGCGCTAGTGGCACTCCTGCCTTGCTTGGGGTGAAATGTTTAAAAAAAAAAGACGTTTACCAATCTTGACATCATTTGTCGAAAGAATCACTGAAAAAACCTTTGAGTTATTCAGCTAGAAAGAGAACAGTCCAAAATCATTTTGTATTAGCCCCATTATATCTTCCCAACTGAGCAATGGTGAGAGGAAAACGATCATTCAGGCGTTCAGTAATGATAGCAACATTCATACTCTGGCTTCCATCTTCAAAATCCATTCAAGAACCCTCAGGAGGACGGTGAATGAGTTTAAAAATGAGGGAACAGTACAGAGGACAACTGAATCAAGCGATCTCAACAGCAAGAGGGACCATCATTTCAACTTAGAGTTAAATATATTCTTAGTGTTCAAAGTAGAGTCCAATAGAGTTATAAAAGCCCCGGAGTATTCCACTAAGATATCTTTAATCATTTCTAGGAGACAAGGGTTCAAAGCTTAACCTAAAGATTGGACAATTTTGCTGTTATACAAGTTGGACAATTTTGCTGTTACACCTGTTATATATATATATATATATATATATATATATATATATATATATATATATATATGCAGGGTAAGGGTCATGCACCATAGTGATATTTTATTAAAAGTATAATCACACATGAAAATTTACCAGTTATTTATTTGTTATTTGTGTTATTCAAAATGGCCTCTTTCTTTTTCAAAACACATTTCACTTCTGCGCCTGCGTGATTCATTAACACGTCAGAGAGTTTCCTCTGTCCTTTTAGTCCATTCATATTTTATTCTTTCTTTAACTTCCTTACTATTTCTTGGGCGCGTCAATTCTATTTTCGTACTGGCTTATGGCCATATAACGTTAAACACCGACCCCCGTACGATCACCAAAGCTAAGCAACGTCGAACTTGGCCGGTACTTAGATGGGTAACCGCTTGTGAATACCAGCTGCTGTAAGCTTGGATGTGTAAGTGATGAAATGGATACCGACTTGGAATTGTTAACTGGAGAGCCAAGATCCAATTGGGTTCGTTATATTCACTTACGCGCAATATACCCTCGGGAAAGGTAGGAACCCACCTCTTCTCGTCTTAGCTATGGGATAATTAGTAAGACTTTTATAGCCAAATCATTATTACCCCCTCCCTCTCACAAAAATAGTTATTACAATTTAAAAAATATTTTCTGATTTTAAATGAGCTGCAAGGGGTTGACAAGCCGTAAAAATTGATCAATCAATCCAATTTATGCTCACCGTCCTGGGTAAGACGATGAACTACGTCCAGCAGCAAGGCCTCTGATCAGGAGGTTTTGACGAGCGTGGAACCACCTCTTAATTGCAGATGTTCCCAGGTTCACCCTGACCTGGAGTGGTAGCACCTGTTAGGGTCCCAGCTAGGGCAAATTGTTAACCCTTAAACTGGAGTAAAATAAAAAAACTATGAAAGTGTAAAAATAGGTTTTTATACAAGAAATAATTTGTTAAAAATTATTACCAGCAATAAATTTTTGAAGGAAAAAACTATTACCAGCAATACATTCTTGAAAAATATTACCAACAATGTTTTTTTTTTTTTTTTAAATTACTAGCAATACATTTTTGAAGGAAAAATATTACCAGAAATAGATTTTTGACAAAACAAAATATTACCAGCAATAAAAATTCTGTCGACATTAAATGACCCATTGAGGTTGATATGCCGTAAAACAATCCAAACCAAACCAAACAAATTTATGCTCTGATAATGCTCTAAACGTGGTACTTGTTCTGATTGTAAGTATGCTGAAAATTTTCAATTGTTGTTTTCTTTTCGATCATCATCCTAATTGTAATTTTATTTCAAGACATAAATCAACAACTGTAAAAGGCGACAGTAGAGACTTTGTCTCATTTCCTTCCTCTGTCAGAATTTCTTGATTAACTGTAACGATTTCAATATTCTCAGTAATGTTGCTAAGATTATGTCCGCCAATGATGAATCCTGACAGGATTTCCAATTTTCTCAGAATTGCCTCTGTAAACCAAAAATGCTACCAAAGATTATTCTTCGAGATCCTTCGCGTAACATCTGACAAAAGAAAAGAAACAATCTAATATAAAAGATTTTATTTACATTATTCGGACTATTGTCCTCATCTTTGTCGCCATATTTATTACAACGTTTCGGCCGTTGTACTCTCCGGACTTCTTCAGGTGGTTGGAATGTCGAACTGAACCCTTTATTTCGCTCACTGGGTTAGACTGTTCTAGTTCCACGTGTCATGTTTAATGGATGTCAGTTGGCACTAATCTCAGAAATATAGACAGATACTGAAAGTTCGAAACGTTGTAATAAATATGGCGACAATGATGAGGACAAAAGTCCGAATAATGTAAATAGTGTACATAATACCTCATCTCAGAAATATAGACAGATACTGAAAGGCCGAAACCTTGTAATAAATATTGCGACAATGATGAGGACAACAGTCCGAATAATGTAAATAGTGTACATAATACCTCATCTCAGAAATATAGATAGATATAAAAGATTTTCTTCAATTGTTTTTATTAATGGCACAAACATTTTGACAAAATTTATTTTATTCAGAGTGAAGCAAAAGTCGCGCACCGCAATACGTTTAATGGATAAGTCGAACAGGTTCTTTTTTGTGGCCACCAAGTTCACCGTCAATTCTACACGAACCTTTTTATAACATTTTTTAATATTTTTACAGAGAGATGACGATTGACGTTACATTGAAATTTTTGAAGATTGTTATTATCAGAAGAGCAAGAAATTGGCAGGAATGCCCACAGGTGGGAAGTGCGAGAAAAGAAACTGTTAGAATAAAAGTGACAGTGACCTCGGTGGCCACTCAATAGAACAGTGCGACCCTGACATCCGTAGATATATTGGGATGGCCAAGGACGAATTCCAAAAGCTGGTCAGAGTATTGTGAAACAGGAGGATCTCTTTGGTAACAAAGAAAAGAGTACTGAGCTGTTCAGTGACATTTGTCTGCCTTTGCGTGATCGAATGTTGGACGGTCTCCTCAAGGAGGAAGAAGAGACTCGGGGCGACAGAAGGATGCTGAGAATATCATGGACTGAACGTGTGAGCAACGATGAGGACTTGGACGGGATGCAAACAAAGAGGAAGTTTTTATTTAACATCAGGAACAGGCAACTTAAGTTTCTGGGACTCATAATGAGGAAGCAAGGCCTGGAGAATCTGATACTCACAAGTCGAATAGAGGGAAAGAGACAAGGGAAAGCAACTTATGACATGCCTGGTTGGCTTAAGCAAGTGGATGACAGACAAAAGATTGAGAGCTACAAGGGATAGGGGAAAGTGGAGAGCCATGATCGACTACGTCCTGAAGGGACACGGCACATAAAAAAGAAAAGTAACTCTGGTCATTCTATGAAAGTGTTTTGATAGAGTTTTAAGATGGAATGCCAAGTAGAAAAGAACGGCCATGTCCGACATCTTCCTCTCTTTGCTTTTAATCAAGGTTACAAAGCGACGAAAATTACACGGCATGTCCGTGATATTACAGACAGAATTGGTTCAGAATATTTTCCCCCGTTTTAAAGAGCGTGGAGCCCGAGCTTGCAGGCTCTCAGATACTGCTCGATTTGATGAGAACCAACTGCACACGCTGATCAAAGAAGAACCGCTCCAGACTCCCAAAGGAATTGGCTCAGAAGAAGGCAAGCTCTCGTGTTACTGTCGCTCTTCAGCTTCACTCAAAGGGTATGGTCTAAAAACACGGCACATGGTTGCCACACTTACACTGTCGATATTGGATGTGGTGAAACTGCAGTGGCGAAAAGAATTAGTTACCCTGTAAAATTTTGTCTTCTGATAATGGTAATGCTAATATCAACCGTTTCCTTATAAAGAAACATTTGGCGTTCATTGATCCAGCAGCCAGTACTGCTTTTGGTTGAAGTTTATAAAATCATTCTCTTAAAACAATTTTTCAGGAAAATAGATGGTTTTTTTTTTAAGTTTCAGTATAAGAAATGAACAAGCGACACAAAGATGAATAAAAACACTGACACAAAATATCCTCGTTGCTTTGGAAAGCAGATTAGCAACAATCGACCTACTGAATTGTATAAAGGGCTTGATTTGAAAACCCAAGTGTATTAATTCAACCTGAACAATACTAAGGGATACAACAGGCAAAACATCAGTACAACAACTACTAATGGTAATGGTAAGACTGGATGTTTCTTTATAAGGAAACATTAGACATTCATTGAACAAGCAGCAAGTACGACTTTCAGTTGAACTTTATAAAATCTTTTCACGAAAATAATTTATTACCACTCCTTCCAGTATTGACTGGGGTTTCCTTCCTAATCTTTTGTTTGAAGTAGTGTGGAATATCAACATCTTGATTATGTCATTATTTTCTCTTCTTAAGTCCAGTAGCTGTTATCACTCTTTCCAGTATTGATGAAGGTTTCCTTCCTAGCCTTTTATCTGAAGTAGTGTGGAATGTCAACATCTTGATTATGTCATTATTTTTCTCTTCTCAAGCCCAGTAGCTGTTATCACTCTTTCCATTATTGGTGAGATTTTTATGTTATTTTCTCTTCTCAAGCCCTAGACCTTTTCCAGTTTGAAGTTTTCTTCCTGACCTTTTGTTTGAAGTAGTGTGGAATATCAACATCTTGATTATGTCATTATTTTCTCTTCTCAAGTCCAGTAGCTGTTATCACTCTTTCCAGTATTGATGGGTATTGCCTTCCTAACCTTTTGTTTGAAGTAGTGTGGAATCTGCTTTTTGCAAGAGTTCTTTGTTTGTGATTGTGTAGCGTCAGTTCACAATGATCAAAGATGGCTGATCTCTGTCCAAAACCCTGCGTTTCACTTGCTTAAAGTCCTTTTTAACCATTGATCTTAGAAAACGGTTGTATACAGCTTACAGTTTCCATATTTCTGAATAGGTTGGGTGCAATGGGTGACATCCATAGGAAAGTTTCAATTTGACGAGGCTATTTAAGAGCAGGATGCCAATTTCCAGGTTGATGTTTGCAAAGTAGCCATTTGCGGTGATGGGCAAAACTACTTGAGGCGTCATTTATTCTATATTCAATTACATTTTCCCCAATACTAAATTTGTTTGTTAGATCTTCACTTGGGAATTCGGCCGTATAGCAAATGCATAATACACTTATTAAATGCCTATAATAAATTCCTTATAATTAATCCTCCATATGCTGAGGTTTCTGAAGTATTTACTAATGCCACCTTCCGAAATGTTATGCTGCTGATATATATATATATATATATATATATATATATATATATATATATATATACATACATACATACATACATACATACATACATAATATTAGTGGTCAATATATATATATATATATATATATATATATATATATATTGAATGTAGATTGAAGAGTTTTACCTTTATTCTGCATTATACACCATCATTTAATAAGACACCAGATGTGTTTAAACAAAATGGCAACTTTTGTATTGAACATATTTATGTTATAATTTTCGAATAAATTATATTTGCTCTACTCTTATCGAGCACTCTTTTACGAATAGTATTTGTTGGCTATTGGAATATATTCCGTATGCACCAATCCTATATTTGTGTATATATATATATATATATATATATATATATATATATATATATATATATATATATATATGATGAACATTCATGAACGTTCTCAAATTTACAAGCCTTGATAAACCAATGACATCATCGCCTTTCTGTATATAAACACGTGCAGCAAAATAAATCTTACATTGCTCTTGTTAAACTCCCCCAGGGTACAAAATGCGTCGGCTTGTTATACTTTTTCCTCTTGTCTTTTTTTATTCATTTTGTCTCTTCTACAGATGAACTCCATCTGAGAATATTTACATATATATATATATATATATATATATATGTGTGTGTGTGTGTGTGTGTGTGTGTGTG